TAAGATTCTTTCCTTTTTCATGCATATATGTTGCATGCATATAAAGCTAAATAACTATGTAAATAAATGTTGTAGAGACTTATTCATAGGTGAAGTTGCATATTCAATGACTATTAAACATTTTATTAATGTTTATTAAGTTAATTATATAATTAATTAATACTTATTTAATTAAATATATAATTAGTTACACAATTAATTAAATATATAATTATAATAAAAAAATTAAAGGTCATAATTTAGTTTAATTAATATTTTTGTTCTACGCCGAGACCTAGATAATAGAGATGGGGTAATATATAGCAATACCTATATATTTTAGTTACAAGATTTATCTATAGTACTGGTCCAATAACGAATATATTAACAGTTTGTTATCCAAAAAAATGGGTTAATAGACTTTTAACGTATTCGAAAATAGATATCCGACCGATATGGGCGATATCCAATGGATGATGACCTTTTTTCCACCATCAATGTCCATAGGAAACCAATATATAGATATTGGATCTGTATCCATATTATTCATGTAACTATGATAAGTTTAACTTAATTGTCTGTAAAATCTATTATCAATTATTATGTTGATATCGTCATTATTTTCAACGACCTTGATGTAGTGGTTCAACATACCATCTCCCATTCTGAGGGTAGGGTTGTTGATTCCTGCATAATCCAAACACTTGTTTTCGTATGTATGTATGTCTGTTTGTTTTCTAAGTATAATATATGTATGTATATGCAATATGTACAGTAATATTTAAATGTTAAATTAAATTGGTTAAATTAAATAGATTTCAGCTGTATATAAATAATTAAAATGTAAAAATCCACGAATTGTGTTAATATATATAACAGCTTCATTTGTGACACGTATTTTATGTAAATTTTTGTATTTTTCCATATGATGAGATGAGATATTGGTATCATATATGTATCTTATATATTGCACAAGGATATAATGAACACTATATTAAATTATCAAAATCTGTTTAGTAGTTTCTAAAAAACATATGTAGAGACACTGCCTATTTATAGCTACGAAGAGGGATTTCGTACTCACCCCTAAATTTTCTCGTGTCCAGCCCAGGATCAGGGACGGCTTTTAGCTAATGGCAAAAACATGTCTGTGAGTGTATATTTAGGCCATATTTAGGCCAGGCCCCACTGAAAAATAATCCTTAGTACGCTAATATATGATATCACTAGTATTTTGCCTGTTATGTCGTTCGTGTGGATTTCAGAAATAGAGAAACTAATGAAACTGGCCACTTCTATATGCTTCTAGATGTTGACGAGGAACAACAACCGCATCCAATTTGGTATTGTAGATTTTATGTAATGTCAGAAGAAACATACAGCTAGACAGACAAAATGTCCAAAATTTATTGTTTTGGCTTTTATAGGTATTATTTTTTCTTACACATCTCCCATTTTACAGACATTACTTGATTATAATTTTACTTTATTAATAAGTGTAGAAGATTAAAAAGACGCTGACTCAGAAGAATTGAATGGACTGAGATTTTTATAGACATTTGGAAAAACTCATTACTTGATACAATGGGGTATTGTTTTCTTCGTCTGTGAACTTAAATGGTTTTATAAATAGATTTTTTTTTTATATCACGTACACATTTGATGACGTAAAAAGATATATATTGTCCAAGACGGGTTCAATGTCGCCCACACAGGATTCCATATCGATTATAGCGGGTCCACTCGGTCTTTACCGGTAGTATTTCCAGTATTTGTTACGTACGTACATACTAATTCATGCAGGAAATGCAGCGGGATATAGCTAATAATGAAATACATTCTTTATTTAGTTTTTCATAATACACCGAATATTGTACTAGTCAGTAGTTGGATTGAGGGCACTTTTTAACGTTGTTTGTCACAAAAAAATGTTAGGAAATACTCGTAAAGTAAATAAAGGAGCATTGTTTAAAGAAGAGAGATTTTGAGATCTTCACTTTTGTTCGAGTCATATTGTTGACTGAAGGGGTCAATGTAAGGACTGAGCGTTTGTAAATTTACTTTGGTTTGTTCTGTGTAACTAGAGTTGTCAAGAATTCTACAGTTTGAATCTAGGGAATGAAGTACCGTCAAGATTGTCTTCTTTTCTGTAGATTAGGATAAAATTTAAAAAAAAATAGGTTTTGTTGTTAAAAGTTTCGTAATTACCATTATATTTTTCACTGTGTAGGTCCATGTATCAGAACCTACGGTTTTTTTTTTGTACGTGGAACAATGATACTTTTTAGATTGATTTTAAAAAGTACAGCATCCGAATGGATCTCATAGTACAAAAATAAGTATTAGGCAACTATAAATAGTCTGGTATTAGATTAATTAAGATTGCGTTTCAAAAGAAAAGGTTTCTTTCAATTGTGATAAATCCAGTTATTTTCATTTAAAAACTTAATTACTGAACCAATTTTGATAAAATTTCTATGGGGCCAATATAGGGCTATAAGCATATCCTTTTAGATAAAAAAAAATCCAAATCAATTTAGAACTAATGGAGTTATAAAGCAACAAACATGAAAAAATACAACCGAACTGTAAATCTCCTTTTTTATGAAGTTAGTTTAAAATGATAAGAAATCTTTACTAATATTGTAAATGTGAAATGAGTTAAATTGTTTGTTTTTTTTTTATCTCATGGCGTCTTAACGGTTTAACCAATAATAATGAAATTTAGTGTACAGGTATTATATGGAAAGGAGAAGGGCATAGACTTTTTATTCTGGTCAAGGAAGATATTCCGGTCACGCAGACAAAATCATGATAGTAAAAAAATATATGATCAAGAGTATATAATCTTTGAATAGAGAGAGATAGAGGCATATTGTGATTAGAGTAACAATCGACAAAGATAAAAAAAACTCAGCAAAAATCCGCTGCAATAATGCAGCAAACAAAACCTGCCCATCAACTGTTCAAAAAGCAATAACCCATTGTTGAATAGTTTGTCGCGATTTCCGGCCCGTTTCCTTCGAGTGTGACAGCGCATACAATGGCCGGATGGGGAACAATCGTGTAACTTGCTGGTAAGCGATCGCTAGCGAAATATTCGATACTGGAAAATTTCATCGTTATTGCCTTTAATAATGTAATGAGGGTTAGGTGCCTTTGTGTCGCTAAGAATCAATTATGTAAATGGAGCTAATTGCTAATTTTCTAAGGAATATATTATCATATTTATATTAGTAGTGTAATCGACATGTAGTTCCGGCATAAAATGGTCCACTTCTTTCTTTCTATTGGGTGTCGTGAAAGGCGACTAATGGTTTAGGGATGGGCAGCAAAGTTCTTCTTAAAACATCACCAGAGCCTAACTGTGGTTGCCAACTTGCCTGGTAATTATAGCAACTACTGACAAAACCTCTTAATAGGAGGAGGCATATGTTCAGCAGTGGACAGTTATGGGATGGGATGGGATGGGATAGATTTTAAGAATGACAATATCTTCCTTTTATAAAAAGACCCGTGCTCATTATTTACATTAACGGGTTTTCATTGACGACCCCTCAATGAATGGTCTAAAAATAAATTACCCATAAAAATTATACACAAATAGAATATAGGTAAAATATAAATATTATTTATACAAAATTAACACAATATTAATAAAATCTATTGATAGAAATTATACAAAAATAAATTACCGTGTAGGTTATTATAAGCACAATTAAGGCTTACGAGGTTCAGCTTTCATAAAGGACTTATTTATATAGGACAAATTAATATATTAAAAAGAGATACATTGAACGAATCTTTTAATATGATGATGTAATAGATTTTTTTTTAAATACCTATCATAATTACAAATTCGAACATAAAGGAGATCCTGTGAATTAAAGTTACTTTTATCATGTTAGGGTAAAACCATTTATATGGTTCTTCTCTCCTAGTACTTTATCTCATATGTAGCTATTAGCAATTAAAAGCATGTGACAGTAAAGTTACTTATGGCAGACTATGGGGAGACCTATTATTATGGTGGGCTAACTGACCTACCCTTTCATCCTCACCTATCATCCCTCACTGGTGCCCTGCCAGCATATACCGTTAGCACAGGCGGGGTTACCATTTCGTTATCATTCATTGAACTGAGCTGCTCATCCCTCCACTACAAGCTCCTCTAGTTGCCTCTTACGACACCCACGGGAAGGGAAGGGATGGCTAGTTCTATGCCAAGATCTATACGGTTAAAGGTTTAATTACGGATTTTCCTTTTCAATTGATTTAAAAAAATGAATAAAAAAATATGTCTGTTATCTCACAATTCCGTTAGATTTGGATTATTTTTTTCTTGTACTGTACTAACTTTTTATCGTGTATTAACTGAGAGTATTGTACTATTTCACCGTGTATATTCTAATATTAAGAAATGGTTGTATACGAAAGCCCAGAAGTTTTACAAGGCCAGCCGTGGCATGAGTAAATTTTAAATGACTCTTTCACGATAAGATAAAGTTGATTTTTGATACGTGGCTTCAATGGACAATTCTTGGAACTCAATGGCTCCGGGCACCGCTCGAAACAGAAATTAGCATATCGTAAACAAAGGAAAATGAAATATTTTTTTATACATTGTAGGTGTATAGACGAACTTCTTTCCTTTATAGAACAGTTTTGTAATTTATCGTATCACGGCACGGCACGGTACGATTTTATAATACCTATATAAGTGTGCATTATGTACACAATTTTTCACGGTACGAATTAACGATTTTGTATGATGATACCGTCAACAAAAAATTAAAGCCGTGCCGTGCCGTTCTATGGTTAAATTGTGTAGGCATATGACAAAAAAAAAAATCACAACGCCTATTATCTGTTAAAATGTCGCCATTGACGCGCCTGGAACGGGCCAAGCCCTGAAATTTCCGATATAGCGCGGTGAGTCGGAAATTTCATAGAAATAATTGCCTCCACCATCCCCCGGACGAGCTACCGCGCATGCCCAGACAGCACACCGCGCATGTCCCTCAGTGAAAACACCTCACGATTTTTTGTCAAAAATAAATATAATTTTTAATAGTGTTTCTAGTTCTTAATTTGAAATTTAAATGACTGTTAAATTGTTATGTTCAATACCACTCACGTTTAGGCTGGTTATTTACAATCTTCGCTACAATAATTGTAAGTAAATTACATCTTGAAGTATCTCCTATTTTTCACATAAATAACCTAAAATGTTGTCTAATGGTTATTGTAAATGATTATTTCGTTCTTAATTCAGATAAGGGCACAATTACAGTCGCTAAAGTAGTTACAGTTTTTATTAGCAACTATAAAAATTAAAAATAATCACTTACATGTCTTAGTGGTGAATACACGTGTTTTTTTTTTATTAAGAGTAAGCTCCAAAATTATGAAAGTAAGGTGAACAAAAAAGAGAAAACAGCTGTATAAATTCTTGCACCATTTTTGCTGTGAAAAATGTTTCATTCTAAAATATTTTTGTTTACCGTGTCACTTTTCCAAAACAGTAATTTATAAGGTAGAAAAACTTTTATATTAATATATAATCTACCATATTTGTCACTCCATATCATCCTATTGATGATATTTACACAAATAAATAAATTTAAAAAAAGCCTATACAAACTACATTAGCTGAAACAAAATCAAAAATTTTTAAACATCTCTTGTGAGATACTGTAATAAAAAGTCCAAATATTTCAACAATTCGGGTATTCTTTTCTAAAGTTTATTACCTCATAACCTGTCAGTCGTATATCGATTTGGAAAATTGTTTTTTTTATCTGAAAAGACATACTTACATATTGGCCTTATAGAAGTTTTATCAATTTTGTTTTAAAAACTATTAAATCGAAATAACTGGTTTTGCCACAATTTAAGTCGGTTTTTTTTATAGGACACATTTTATAGGACATATTTAATTATTTTTATAGGCCTTTTGTAGATTTGCAAGATAGATAAATGGTTTAAATTTCATTAAATCAATCACTTTATGCTAGGATAGGGTTGATTACTACTTAAATAAAACCCTAAAAAATAAACAAAAGAAACTACTAATCTCCCCATTTGGGTGAGGGGAGTGTGCATGGGGAGAGACCCCATAAAGGTGGATACGAGCTCACTATTACCATGCTGGTCAGGAGCTTAGTGTAGGGTTTTTGGTTTTGTTTCTTTTACATTGGCGCTTTGTTTCCTTACATAGTCGCTTGTTACGATATCTTTTGGGAAAAAATAAACTGGTTTCTAAACAAAGTTCTTTTTTTATTGTTTTTGCTATGAAATTTTTGTTATAGTGTTATTTATTTTTGTTTTAATAATAAGCTGTATATAATGGAGCTTGTATATTATTGTTTAGTGAGAATTTATATTCGCTCTTAATTTTGTTTTTAAATTCTTTTTATATAAATAAGTTTACGCATATTTTTTTGTTCACTTATTCTTTTTTAAAGATTCATTTAATTATCCACAGATGTTATTAGATATGTAATAAGTATGTATAGTATTTCATGTCTTTAGTATCAAAATAATGCATAATACCTATTTTATAGTTTCACACATAATACCTGGTAACTACCAATTTTAAAACACGAGAGAAAGCAGAAAACTATATAATTGTGTTTGTTTGATCATGTAATACAAGTTATATCCCGCGACTTCATCCACTTCAATTAGTATATGAACTATTCTATGTGCCAAATTAAGGTATAAACTACCCTTGTACTAAATTTCATTCAAATCTTTTCATTAGTTTTTGAATAAAAGAGTAACAAACATCTGTCCGTCTGTTTATGCATCCATCGTTACAATCTTTCCCATTTATTGTATTAATAGAATCTATAAAATAAATATGTTCGAGTTAATATTACCTAATAGAGTAGTTAGAAGCATTTGTTAATTACGAGTATTGACATTCTGAAGAATGCCATACTCGACGTGTCCACATTTCGTCCAACATATTAGAATTCAATGTGGCAGCGTTCGAAGCTACAAAATAAATGCGTGAGAAATCGTAGTTGCTGTTCCTGCAACTACGATTTCTCACGCATTTATTTTAACCCTCTCTGAAATTAAACGGCGCATTTTACTAAAAGGATATTTCAAAATTTTCTCTTGGGACGGATGTACTCCATCCATCCCTTTTTTTTTTGACGTAAAAATGTAATATCACTTAATCTCATTATTTTAACATGAGTATATACATTTCAGTGTCTCTGTGGTGCAGTGGATAGTGTGTTACTCTGTGTATGAGCTTACAGGTTCGTCAGCTGAGCTAATATCATAAAAAAATTTATGTTGTTATGGTCTTCTAGTTTAAAGAATAAGAATTAGTATATTATAGTTAATAATTAACTTCCAATCTTATTTATATCTTGATCCAGTTACACAGATACATAGTTTAGTTAAAGTTTTACTATAAATATAGTTTTATCACCGACTTAAAAAAAAGAAGAGGTTCAATTAGGTTTATTGGGGGGGAAGGGATCGTTAGTAATGCGGGTTACCAGTCCCATTGCTAGCAATATACCCTGTCAGGTCGACCTCCGCGCGGTTCCCCCTGGAAAACATCATGCTGAGTTCCAGGTGTATTCATCACGATGGGCTGACTGACCTGCTTTTTTCATTATTCACCTATCATCCCTCACTGGTCCACCAGGCCATTAATCATGCATTAAAAAAAATTTGGTTTATTTTTTTATGTTTGTGACCTCATAACTCCATTAGTTAGAAACTGATTTGATTTTTTTTTTATCTGAAAGGATATACTTACAGATTATTCTTATAAAAATTTTATCAACATCGGTTCAATAGTTTAGTTTTTAAATGAAAATAAGTGGTTTTGATACAATTGGACTTTTTATGGAACACATTATTATTATAATCTAATATATAAAATACTCGTGTCGCGGTGTTTGTTACCAATCTCCTCCGAAACGGCTTTACCGATTTTTATGAAATTTTATGTGCATATCGGGTAGGTCTGAGAATCGGCCAACATCTATTTTTCATACCCCTCAATGATTAGGGTGACCAACCCCTAAATTTTTTTTTTTTTATTTTTTTAGCAAAATTTTTTGTCTTTATTTTATTATGATTTAGTATTGAAAAATAGATACAACTTTAAATTTACATCGTTTTACGATCAACCCCTGTTTTTTAATCGCGATTTTTATATTCCGTAATAAGGTTGCAAGATGGCAATCGAATAATTGTAGTAGGATAAATTTTCATGTATAGGTCTCGAAATAATGTATATGGTAAAACAACGTTTGCCGAGTCAGCTAGTATTATTTATAAATAATAATGTTATTAAGTTGAAATCGAAATCATTCTTATCATTTTAAAAGACTATTCTATATTATACCAGTATTCTATGTATACCAGTCAAATTGAACATTTTTTTTTAAAGAAATAGGTTGAGGAAACGACGAAATTTTGAGGCTATTTCACGAACATGGCGCGTTGTATTATAATACAAGTGGTTTGCTTGTGTAGATTGAGATAGAATCATTTCAAATTCAGTTCTACGTTCTCCTTAATATAATATTTTTGCTAAACTAACAAATTAAAATTAGTTTTAGGGAAAGTTTTGGGTATGGTTCGCCGGAATCAATCGTAAAGGATCCAAATGAATAGAGCGGAAACTTTGAAGAGCAAGTAATACCCGTATTTGAGAATCAACCCGCGACGTTGGAAGTTAGCCAATTTGCAAACTATGCAATTTCTTAGCACACACCCGTGAAATCAGATTCGTGATATGACTCTACCATGTATTTACATAGGAATGCCTTTTTTGCGACAAGTTCTACAGTTTAGTTAGCAGTCTAGGCACCTATCGCTTACTTAGGGCGTTTGGAAAGAAATAGTTTCTTGGTTTGGAATTGACATTAGTAATATAGTTGACTCGTATTACATTTCGGACTATAAGTATACAACTACAAAGATAGATACTATTTATTGTTTCTTCCCAAAGATTCATCATCATCATCATCATATCAGTCTTTAATTGTCCATTGCTGAACGTAAGCCTCCCCCTTGGGAGATTTTGCGAGTAGTTGCCACGCTTGGTAGGTGGATTGGCAACCGCAGTCTGGCTTTAGAGATGTTTTAAGGGGGACGCTGCTACCCATCACTCGCCGTCTCTTAGTCTGCTTTAACGACACCCACGGGATAGAAAGGGGTGGCTTATTTTATGCCGGGATCACACGGCTAAGATTTTGATATTTGATGAGATTCTAATATTTATTATAGATACAAACATTTACAAGAAATGTTCACATTTTTTCAAATTTTGACTTACGCGAAGTTAGAACTTCAACGACGTTATATATTAAGTCACAAGTCTTTTAGGTCTTTGTATACGAATATTGAAAATAATACAATGAAAATCATAGAATATCTTCTATTTTCTATGCACCCCTGGTACTGCAAAGGATAGAGATTGTCTCTCTTTGGAGCTGTATATATTTATTTATATTTATTTCTAGCAGCTTATGTCGTTCTTTATTTATTTATTTATTACATCAACTGGATGAGCTTTACAATCTTCCAATACGCTCACCCAGGAAATCATCAGTACTATAACATATATATGAAGGAATATTATACATAAATAAAAGGAATAATATAAAAAAAGATTTAACTGAGGTTTTCCCAAGAGACTACAGCATGGGGTTCTTCAAAAGGGGGTTAAAGAGGTTTCTTCAGGGTCGGCAACGCGCGCGTAATACCTCTGGTATTGCAGGCATTCATAGGCTACGGTAACCGCTTACCATCAGGTGGGCCGTATGCTTGTTTGCCACCTCAGTGGTATAAAAAAAAACTTAACTAGAGATAATCTCTCTCTTCAGTCGTACACTCTTGACAGAGTAGTCGTGGTTTCTACAATGACAGTGGATCGTCGATGAAGCTCTCCTTCGCGATTGAGATTCTCTAAACTAAAGATAATATTAGAGCCTAAATTTCTGCACACAAACACCTTGTGGTCATTCGACGAAACTCCAGCAAGTTGGAGGCAAATACATCCAATTGTGGATACCGGTACAAAATATCATTGAGTATTTTCAATTCAAGAGATAGGGGAGCTTGCTTAGCCAACTCTGTTCTTCTTAATGGAACATCAAATAATTGCCGTCTACGTGATCGCACGTAGTTACTGGGAGCTCCTATTCATATTGACACCAGTACAGTTTAGTTACATTTTTTTTTATACAACTTAGAATGGCAAACAAGCTGACGGCCCACCTAATGGAAAGTGGTAACCGTCGCCTATAGACATGAGCAGTACCATGGACATAACAGAGTATACTGTTTCGCCCATGATACCCTCCATGCGTTGCCATTCCTGAGGACTCATGTGTTATTCCTCTGTACCCAGTAAATTCACGCCATATCCCACCCTTCAAACACGGTTGAACGGCACAACTGCTTCACGGTTGAAACACGAATGGGACAGAGGTACCCAAGCAATCGACTTGTCAAAGTACAAAGTCTCCCTCAGATATTTTCCCCTCGTACTTATTTTTCCTATACTACCATTTATAATTATACCATAGTAAAATTAACATAATAATACAAAACCAAAGTAATTAATATCACGGTCTTGTTATGCGAACAAACGAGTCATTTTCAAAAACTCTACAACACTTAACTATAAAATAGTCATTTCACATTTCACAAGCCATTAAAACAGTAAAATACATATCATCCATGTAACATTAATATTCTGTTACAGTGCAGTTTATATACTTATGCCATAATTCTGAATTTCTAGTGACACAACGAGACATAAATTTTATATATTGCATTTAAAACTAGTAAAAGGTATTTTATTACGCTTAGAGATGTTTAAATGTTTTGTATGTAAGTATTTTATGTTTTAATTTTAATACGATGGTGAATCTCTGCTTTACAATTTACAATACAAATGAAAAAATGAAATTCTATCGCTTACACAAATAAAATATAATTATATTATCATTTTAGGGCGTAGATACACATATATTCTAATTTTAGACAGTTCAGAGCATAAGCCTTTTCACTAAACTAACATAAATAATACTCCTGAACTAATTGCATCGACACCTTACAAGCACATTTGAGGTTATCGCTCCCTATAGAGGGGACTTACGAGATGAAAATTTAAAATAACATCAAGGGTTTTTCTTAACGATTTTGGAGATTATATCCACGATTGCTTTAATTAAACTACTAATATTAACCTAGTATGGTTTGTATGATTAAAGCGATTAAATAGGGATACGTAAGCGCTATTCAAAATAGGTTTTATGTAAATACTCATTATTACAAATTTAGATTAGAATGTCCTTGTGTGCGTTTGTATTTGGGTCATGAAATAATATTAAATTATAAATAAAATTATGTGGGGTCGGCAAAGTATGTTTTCCTTTTCCAATGATCCCTATCGGTTGTTATATTTGGGTGCACTCTTTTATGCGTATCATCTTTCACACAGTCCATCCATATTTTCTTTGGTCGACCCTCCCTTTTTATCCCTATATAGGGTTTCTTAACATAAGGTTTCTTTAGAATCGGCAATGCGCATGTGACAAACTTATGTCGCGTTTACCATTAGATAGAAAAATATTAAACATCCTCTATGTACTGAAAAAAAATTAGGTACTATAATTTGGAATTAAAAGCCGATCGTTTGGATTCAGATCTCAAGAATTCTTAATTTTATGTAAGTTGAAAAAATAGGCAACATGTATTCACAGAATCCATATGTGACGATGTGTTATCTGCGGGTCTACCATGAAATGAAATTCCGAAATTTCGGACTCAATTTCATGTTTTTGCTTAAACCAAAATCAGATTAATAAATGTAGTTTAACATTTCCTTTGTCATACATCCTATCATAAAAGTCCAAAAGAACAATATTTTAACATTTTTAATATGTCCAATCGGCATGTATTATGTAATTTTAACATCAAATTTGTGTTTCGTTTGGTTCCGAAATTTCGGAAAACATTTCATGGTAGACCCTCAGAGCACAAGTGATTATGTTAAAGCTTTTCTAACTTGGTATTAAATTATAGTAGACATCTACTTAATTAAATGTTTCCAATCTGAGTTTAATTGCTGACCTAGTTAACATTATGATGAACTTCGTACCTATATTTTTTACAGCCCATAATCTTGAAGGCTTTGCTATTGAAATACATTTCATTAGGCAAACACTTAAACCGCAAACATCCTAAGGAAACATAAATATTAACAATACAATCCTTTGTTACAGGTTTCAACAACGATAAATTCTATTGGCGAAGCTCGTAAAACTGTCATTTTAAAGCCAAGGAATAAATCGTTATCTATCTTTTATTACGGAAAATACCATCTGAATAAGTATAATGAACGAAACAGCACTGAACTATAGTGGATTGAGCAATATATTGGAAAAATTTAGGAATGGGACGCCAGACAGTCTGCCACCGGCGCATCCGACTATGTACGAAAACATCATTGACAACAAATGGCTTCAAGCCATTTTCTGCGTCATATACACTACCATTTTCGTTCTCGGATTATCAGGGAACATTCTAGTCTGCTTCGTGGTAATCCGAAACAAAGCCATGCAGACTGTAACTAACCTGTTCATCAGTAATTTGGCTCTCTCCGATATATTGCTGTGCATATTCGCCGTCCCATTCACACCATTGTACTCCTTCCGCGGATCGTGGAGTTGGGGCTCTCTCTTATGTCACATAATGCCTTTCGCACAAGGGTGCAGTGTTTACATATCCACATTAACACTTATGTCTATAGCTATCGATAGGTTTTTTGTGATAATTTACCCTTTTAGGCCGAGAATGAAAATAGAAACATGCATCACTGTCATTATTATGATATGGACTTTCTCCGTGACCGTGACGATGCCGTACGCTGTATTTATGACATATTACGATTTAGAAATAGGTAGATTATGTGAAGAGACGTGGCCGACGGAGAAATTGAGAAGAATATTCGGCTCAGTTACATCTGTGATGCAGTTCGTTTTGCCGTTCATCGTGATTGCGTTCTGTTACACCTGTGTCAGCTTCAAATTGAACGATAGAGCCAAAGCGAAGGCTGCCAGTAAAAACTCCCGCAAGGAAGAGTTAGATAAATGTAGGAAACGTAGAACTAACCAAATGTTAATTGCAATGGTGACTATTTTTGGGTTGTCGTGGTTGCCTTTGAACGTCATTAACTTGTGCAATGATTATTATATTTACGCAATTCATTGGAAGTACTACTTTCTAGTATTTTTTATAGGTCATGTGATAGCTATGTCATCGACTTGCTATAATCCTTTCATTTACGCGTGGATGAATGAGAACTTTCGGAAGGAATTTAAACTATTGATCCCGTGCATCGATTCTTCTGCACAGTTGAGGGGCAATATTCAATTGGAGCAATTAGGTGTTGGACAGTCAGAAAAGACTTTTAATGGTAATACGACGACAGATAGTTATTTAGGTTCTAGTACACAAAGAGGTACGTCGTTTAGACATAAAAGGAAGCCAAGTGCTGCTGCTGATGTGGAGAAAAGTGGTGTGGAGCTTAACGAAGATCTTCTGACAGTAGACGTGAAGCACTGTCACATATCCACGAGTTATAACTTGAGGAGAGAGTCAGTTAAGTTAAGGTTGATCAACGAGGAGTCTTTCGACGGGACACCATCGCAGAGTCAATTCTAACAGTTGATGACACGGGTAAGTTCCTTTGTTTAATTTGTTTTTGTTTTTATTTAAAAGTTAGTCAAAAAACAAAACATACGACCAATCGATTATGATGGCCTAGACTCATTATTTGTAACTTTAATGCTTTGGTTATTTTGATATCAAATTAGTTTAAATTTATTAATATGTTAGTAACATTTTCATTATTTGATGAAAGGTTGTAATCATTATCTATAAAGATAATAAAGATGTGCATATTTGTATGTCTCTCTTTAATTTAAAAAAGATGAAAAACAGAATAACACTTCTTGAAAATATTTTAATATACTATACTGAATTTTTTCTGTTGCATAGAAGATAATATCTGTTCTTAGTCATTACTAAGATTATACTAGATATTTTATCTCGTATTGAAGTATTATGGATACAAGGACATCTTTTAAATAGTATTTGCTTTTAATTTCCGATGCAAAGAGGAAGTTTGAATCCGTATTATCGTATCGTATTCTTCATTTGGACGTTGTTTAACCCGAACGGTTTTCAACTGGCTGTTTGATAAACATATATTCAGTTGTATTGTAATCTCAGGAGTATTATAGAAATATTATCTCTAAAACTATCAAGAAAAGAGTTGTTATTCAATCAAAATTAAAACACGTATTGGTCGACAGGTACGGCGCTGGAGACGTCCCCAACTTTGAAGAAATTCTAGACAGTTTTAAGAGTATTTAATATTTTTGGAGTGTATTTATTTTGTACTAACAACGTCTATACTATTGCACATTAATATGACTACTGAAATTATGACGCTTATAACTCTTAAATGATAATTAACCTTTAGGTGTAATCGTATTACTCTGTGAGTCCGCATTTGAATATAATTCTGAAGCACGTATTTTCTTGTGTACAATTTTTACTACTTCTTCTACATATATAGAAGAAGTTCATACATATATACAATATACCCAATGATCCTAATTACAAAAGGATTTGCAGGATTATGCGTATACCTTCCTAATTTAATTTTATTTTTAATTATCTATTTACAATCCGACTGTTGTATATTTTTGTGCTTATTAATTTACATTTTGTTCTTACCTCGCCTTCTGTTGTATTTTAAATTTCTTATCTTTATAATTATAACAATATAAATCTTCTTTGTCTGCAAAAATTATGTAATAATATTCTATAAACATCGTGAATAATACGAGAAATCCTCAGAAATCTTATGAATAATCTTCGAGGTTTTTCGTCATTGTTTTTATTTCTATTGAAATATCAGATACAAAAGTAGGTAATTTGTACCCTGAATATTAGAAATGTTTTGAGGCAAATAGGTATAAGATATGTATGTGAAAGAAAAATAAGATTTGATTTTGTAAGACGATTCTTACATATTATTGTGCTACGTATGAGCAAGGTAGGTGGAAAATAAAACTCCTCTTGTACTGTAGACAACAATTATAATGATATTAAATTGAAACAATGAATAAAACTACATAGATCGGTAGTAAATTAGATATCTCCGTGTTTTAAATAAAAGAATGCTTTTATCGTTATCATTCACAAAAGATCCAACGTTCACAATTAAATTAGTTATGTTCAAAAGTGGACGATTTTTATTCGGTCATATTTCGCCATAAAGTACAGTTTTGTGCCGTTTGTATCCAACGACTCTGCAACACTCGTCTCTCGAGAACCTTTCTTTCCCATCGGTTATTGGTTGTCGGATAATTTCCTCTACGGATATTGACGTTCCGGATTCTATTAATAATAAAGGATAAATATATATTTCAGTAATTTTTTTTGCATTTTAAAGTCGAGCCAGCAAGTTGTTCAGCGATAGCTCCCCACTTGTTTGTTCTTAAACGACTTATAAAGAAAATTTTCAATTCGTTCTTAATATTTTTTGTATGTTATCTACTTGATATCTTTGCCAGTTTTAAATAGATTTTGATATTTATTTAACAATAAACAGGGGTTCTCTTGTTGTTCCCATAAAAGTTTTAGGTAATCAATCCAATGCAAGAAAAATGACAAGGATTGCAGATAAAATTTAGCATCGTATACAATAATATCTAAGAATCGTCTATTGAAATAATCGAATAAGTACTTATGAATTAAAAATTACAAAGTAATTTAGATGTATTGTGATAAGATTTGAAATTTCTGATTCACGTTGATTTGTATTTAAGTAGTTGTTCTAAGTTTTCTGTATGAGTGATGAGACGTGAAGTTGAGGTAATTAATAAATAAACAGGGATTTAATGACATATTGTAAATATTGGATTGGCCAGTTTTATATACGACACTGCATAATAAGGTCGACAACGCGTACGTTATATCCCTGGTGTTGCAAGCGTCCATAGGCTATGGTAATTTTTTTTAAATAGCACGAAGTGAATACAAGAACATTCTACTCCCAACGGTTACCATTTGACGAGCTGTATGCTATTAAAAAAACATCATCTATAGAAATAATGGTTCCTTCTATAAATGACCCTTTTTTTAATTTAAGTGACATTTCATTTCAGACTGTAAATTGCATAAACAGCAGCATGACTAGTAATAGTCCAAATGAATCCGGGCATAGTGACACACACCTGTAGTAGTGATGTGTCGTGACGGCTTATTCGAGTATTTTAGTATTCGTTAAAAAAAGAATTCAATTCGACACGAGGACTCGAACAAGTATTTTAGTACTTGATTGGATATTTGCTTATTTTATCAGTCTAGCATATTTTAAGCTTACTTTTTTTTTAATTATAAATCTTTAATCGTTCAATAATTTTTTCATTTATAAACAAGAAAAAAAAAATTAATGTAACAATGAAACAGAAATATAAAAACTTAAGATAAATTCGTGACTAGTATTATGTTACTATAGATACTCAAATCTTGCATTCGAGCATCATGTATCTGAATTTTGTGTATTGAATATTCGAGTACCTGAGGACGAGAACCTATTAGATATCTGAGTTAGAACTCAATTTGACTCGACACATCACTAATCTGTAAAACACGAACTAAAAACGGCTACACAGCATTAAAATTGTTGCCTGCTACCTACTTGTATTCAGAGTTCGTATGCATTGCATACGTTATCAGTATAGAATGAAGTATTCATGTAAGAATTATTAAAAGAATAGTTTAAAATAGTATATTGTTTGTAGTTATGGTATGCCACTAGTGTTTTGCAGCTACCTGCGATTTACAGTCTATATTGAAATAGCATTTTAATTTAATTCAAATAATATTTATATTAAGTAACATATGAGAATTTTTGTAATGTTTTAATTGAAGGATATGGCACAACGTTTACGGAAAAATTTATGTACTATATATAAAATGGTATTCTATATCAATATAATTGTAATCTAAGATACAAAATATAAACAAAAAAATAACTGGTTATTCTGTAACTACCCTATCATTATTAATATACCAGAATGTAAATTCAAGGTTTGCAATTTGTATCTATTTAGAGATTTGTTTATTTTTGGATATAATAAATTTTATTCTCACTTAGGAAATATGTGATAAACAATTGAACTATTACGAATCTATAAAATATTTATAACATCAATATGAAATGGCGTTATTTACTTAATTATCTTTGAGGGAAATTTAAATACATGTAGTAATATTTCTTTTATTTTTAATCGCAATATACTTTTAAATCGACTATCGATATTGTGACCGTGTAAGGATATCAACAAATTGCTTTACTATAAAACGGTACAAAGGTTATTCCGAATTTAAATTCAGATATGTGAAGTTGGACTTTTAACGACACGTCACGATAGAATATCAAAGGTTCTGAATACAGAAACTATTCTGAGCTTCATTTTAGCTTTTGATTCGGCAAACTTCAACGGGATGACCTTTTATATCGTCTCCCGGTCAAAAGGAGACAATAAAATATAAATTTGACGAAAAAGTATTTACTATCCAGTTTTATCTTACAATAATGCCATTTGAAATGCACACACATATCGTGCTGTATAATTCTGTATATTTTGGTTGGAATAATATTAATTTTAAAATGTATCCGAAAAGGTTATATGTTAAAAAAAGGTTTCTGTTTTATATAATTTATGTCACGTGTAAAGAAATTTGTGGGATCAAATAAGACCAGCATAGTTTTGGGGCTTGATTATATAACTCAGTTGCAATTAAAAACTCTAGTTTGAAACAGGGATAATAAAATAAAATACAATTTAAATACTGTCTGACAGTTTTAAGTACAGTTTGACCGATTTTCTTGCTGGCCACTTCTGTTTTGGCAACACGTTTTTTATTTACCAAAATAAAAGAGAATGCAACAAAACTGCTATGAGCATTATGAAATAGCTATATAATGACGTCATTGAGTAAATGATCAGACAAAAAAAGTGGATGAAACATGAATAATGGAATAGTAACTATCTATCGGTATACACTGGCAGAACACTAGTAAGGGATGATAGGCAGGGATAAAGCAAGTCAGTCGGCCCATCGTGATGAATTCAACAATAAATCAAACACGATGGTTTCCAGAGGGAACCGCTTCGAGTTCGGTTAGGGTATATTGCTAGCAATGGGGTTGCTAATCCTATCATGTCATATCTATTAGTAGCCTAGGTACTATCCGTTTAGATATATATATATATATATATATATATATATATATATATATATATATATATATATATATATATATATATATATATATATGATAATAATACCAATAAAGGCAAATTGTACTAAAGTTAATACAGACATACAAAGACCTCGAGAAATTTTATAACTCAAACTATCAAATGGTACATATATAATTGTAAATGTATCTATTTTAAACGAAAACTATTAGCCATTAACTAATTTACATAATCGAGCCCCAAAAACAAGGCAGTCTTAGGCCATTATTGAGTGATTGCAATATGGAACGAAATTTAAAGTGAAAAGAATGTCTATATGTGATTTTGGCTAGTCTTTTGTAAGTGTTTTATCACAATTTATATTTATAAAGTGTCAAATTTTAATGTGAGTCAATATTAAGCAATACATTTAGTTACTCATGAGTCGTAGAAAAATTAGAATTTTCCTAGAATCACGTTGGGTTTTGAATTAGGTAGATAATTTAAAGACATCTAGTTATAGTAGGGCATCGATGTATTAAAATTAGGTCTGTGTACTACGTACATAATGAAATTAATTAGTATACAATCGTAGTATATAGTATTTTAAGTCAGTTGTTTTTTAATTAAAGAAACAGTCGAAAGAAAATTATATAAAATAATGATTTTAGCGAACTATAAAGACTTCCTAAATATATCCCTGTATTAAAATCATAAAGTGAATAAAAACTAATATTTATACTCGTATTAAGCTATAATTTATGGAAATAAATTTATTATTTTAGAGACTTTCTGATCTACATAATACTTATATATTAGCATTCAGCTATTAAAAGAATATGTGATCAAAAATATAATATGTTATTTCAACAAGCAAAATGATTGGCATGGTGATTGAATTTAACGAATTGTTTAGAGATTGGGTGATTTTACAAAAAATATTTTGTAAATAAATTAGATTAGGGGGAATAAATAGGTGTCCTAATAAGACTCATTTCATGAAAGTAATTTGGAATAAGAATTTTACGCTATATTTATTAAAATTATCCTTGGATACTTCCTATCTCACAAATGTATACTTGTATTATAGAGTAAATTAATTGTTTTTGTGTATAATTAATTCAATCCAAACAGTTAAAGACTAGTGTTGTGATAATTATGATTGTTGATAAAGATTTAGAATATTTTATAGTCAATTTAGAATTTATTATTGTTATTATTTCCACACGAAACTATTAATCGAGGATAAATACATATTTTTGTTATCCAAAGTTCCATCATGATGGCCTCCAGATGACACAGTGGTAGGCACGGTATTTAGTGTATATAAAAGTCTATGTTCGATTTCCTATTAAACTAATTTCGGAAACGAGCTCTCTGATTTGCGTCATGTTTATGTATGATTAAAAAATATATACAAAATTTTTTAATTATTTTGCAAACTATAGTTCAAAGGTTATTGTTTTAGGTATTCATTTAGGTAAATGCGTAACAGAGATTTGCTTATAAAGGACTTCAGTTAATTATAAAATTGATTAGAAAAGAAGACCTGTCGTAGCATTTAATCAGAGCTTAAAATGATTTGGAATTAAAATGGAAGTATAATTAATATATTTGCTGTTGTAGAATGGACAAAAGGTTCTGGTTCTGATTGACAGGTTAATTTCAGAATAATTTTTTTTTCAACAATAATATTTCTTTATGCTTTCACATGCTTCACAATGTATTACATGAAATGTGGTAACAATAATATGATGCTAAATACAGATGTAGAGGACTGGCATCCAATTTAATAGGGCAATGATATACTTATGTCTTTGCTCTTTGATCATCATGCCTTTATCCATAGTGATCGTACTTTAACTATAATATTTTATCGTGCTGTTTCCTGGGTTGCTCCTTATGATATATTGAGGATAAGAAGGAACAGTATTATTATTGTTTT